GCATTAACGTTTCCCACATTAATATTAACACTAATAATTTAATAAATAATAACTATTTTATATTATTTAATTTATCTTATATTTAAAACTTAAAATTAGTAGTATAATTAATCATTATTTTAAATTTAAAAAAATTAATTAATTTTAATCAGGTTGATTCGACCTAAGCCTGACCTATCCCAATCAAATTCAGATAATTTCAGTCTAAATCATATTGGATTTTGGATTGATATCTTAGACCCATGATCCTACCCTACCCATAGCAGGTGAGTTGGCTTGGATTTTCAAATTGGATTCAATTTTAACAAATCTAAAAGCAGGAGACGCATACCCTGTCAGTGCCATAATACTGAACAATGTTTTCATGTTCAAACTGACTTAATAGACCAATCTCCTGAAAAGAAAATTTAAAAAACAATAAATCAGCACAAAAAATTGTATATTTACAAATACATCAACAATAGAAAATTTGTCTGAGAACATAACAAACAACTGCTCACCTGCTCAAGTTGGACAATACTGTGCTCTCGTTGACTTCCTTGATCAAGCAATGAAACTTCTTTCAAGGCACAAAAGGATCCGTCACTGTAGAAAAATAAGTTAATTAATAACAAAAAAAAAAGAAAAAGTGTTCCACATAGCATCCCAAATTATGTAACAATGGTGCTGTGGAATTAAGCGGAAATTTTGAAATATTTTCATGTATCAATAACGAAGTTTACCTTAACAACTAAACATGCGAGAGTTATTGCCACACCCTAATTTGTTAATCCCACATCATTTTTACTTATTTGACCATCTCTTCCTTGGTTTTTTTTTCTTTCGTCGTCTTCTCCAATTCTCCCATTTCATCCCCCCACATCGTTACTGTGTTTTTTTCTTTCTTTCTCTTTGAGTAGTTTTCTTTATCCCACTGAATTTTTGCAGGAAATCCTTGCTTTGTTTGAACCCCACTCCCCTAGAAATTCAAGGAAACAATTCTAATCTAAGAAAGTGAAAATGAAGAAGATGATGTTTTCAAACCCTTCCTAAGTTTCATTGCGTTCTTTTCATTCTCCTTTTCTTTCTTTTATTTAAGGCCATTAATTCAACACAACTTTCAAGTTTTCCAGAGAAAGCTAAAAAGAGATTGAAATTGTTGGGCTTGTACCAGCCCTTGAAATCTTCTCAAATAGTTGCAAATCAAGTGTACTTAATTTTTGGTGTTAATGAAAATCCCATAAGAATTAACGAAATTGTGAATGAAACACCATCTATTAAAGAAATTTAGAAAAAAAAATA